CTCTCTCTCTCTCTCTCTCTCCCCCCCCCCCCTTACTTACCGGTCCCCCGCCCACCGACCACCGGAAGTCGCGGCGCGTACGGGCCGCCCAAAAAAGAAATAGCAGGCCGAGGTACTGGTGGTTTAAGTTCAGGTTGTTGTAGAGGTTGGAAGGCAGACTATGACAGTCACCTACCGTAGTTGGCCATTTTGTCACTCCCCAAGTTGGGACTGCCAACCCTAACCCCAGCTGCACCCCCTAACTTGGGAACTGCCAACCCTAACCCCAACTGGCCCCAAGTAAAACAGTTCATTTTCCGAGTTTCAAATGCGTTTTGAACCTGAATCTCGACTCCACCATAGTTTTCTCATATAGGGGGAACTTTGTGCCACCACCACCATTGGGAGAGTGTATCATTGAGCTAGCTACTGACACACACGGTGGTTTTCACTTACCTCGTACGTCGGGCATTGGCTTCCTTAGCAGATGGAGATCTCACATGTTTGACACTGCGGCCACGTTTCCTTTTGGAACGAGGAGTAAAAGTGGACATCCGAACCCAAGAGCCTAGCTCAGTGGGTACACCCATGAACTGCCATGTCCCCTTTGAGTATGGAATGGGCAAAAAAAACACGTGTCGGCAAAGAAAACCGCGCCGAGTTCGAAAAGGCAACGAAAGTACCGAATGCTGTCGTGTCAGACCGGGTGTCATTTTTATTTACAGGGGTGGGCCGTGGTGCCAGAGGGGAACAAAAAAAAAAAAAAAATGATGGATACTTTTGGACCGCATTCGATCGCTCATTTCGAGTCGGCGCGTCGTTTCGTTGCTGGCGCGAGTTTTTTTTGCCTCCAGGGTTTCAAAACGTGCCGTGTCGTTTTTTGTTTTTTGTGTTTTTTGTGTTTTTTGTGTTCGTTTGTGTTTTTTGTGTTTTTTTGTGTTTGTTTGTTTGTTTGTTTGTTTGTTTGTTTGTTTGTTTTCAAGCAGACATAGACATCTTTGCAGGTGGATCACTATTGGTTCCCCGGTTCGTTCCGCTCTCATCTGCCGTGTGTACGATGCTGGGCCTGGTTGCCAGCAGGTGGTGGTGCCCACCAATTGATAGATGTAGCCTCAAAGCAAGGAGCAGACCTGAAACCCAGGGGCTCCCCTTGGGCGTCAACATACAGATGGTTGAGTTAAAACCACCAGTACTTTCCAAGCCTCTTTTTTCCGGAGGCTTGAAAAACCGACAACAACAAATGAACCGGTGCGGGCCTCTGTTTGGCTGGTGCAGCCAGCCATTTCGCTTCACCAGCCGACCCCCGAAAGTTGAGTCGTGCATGCAGCCGCGTCAGAGAAAAATGGCTGGGAAACGTACTGGTGGCATTTTTAAATTTAAAACATACTAATAATAGGTCCTGTGAGGAAAAAAACGAAAAGGTAGAAAGAGCTTTGCACTGACATACGTCTGTTCATTACGCCACTATTACGTCTCAGGACCCTTTTCCAATTTGCATTTTTGATTCCCCGGCCCCTTGCGTCCCGACTGTTGGTGGGATGAGGCCTACAGGGTGCAGCCAGGCATTTTGATCTGGAAGGGCCCGAGGGGTCGAGCCTTTCCGAGGCGCAGTGCTCTTTTTTTTTTTTTTTTTTTTTTTTTTTTTTTTTTTT